AAGATTGAGAGAAAGGCACTCTAGAACAGCGAGCTATATGGATTGAGCTTCTTCTTTCATCCTACAATGGATCTTCCTTGACCCAGAAAGTACCGCCAATAATCATAAGGTATCCAGCGGTCGAAACCATTAACAACTCTTCTCGTGTGTCACGAACCCAAGGTCTCCTCTCTCCTTGAGTCGAACGGGAATATCTGTCAGTCTGACGAACCAGGAGTTGGTCACGTGACACTCGTGGTCGAGACGGGGAGTTCCATCTGATGAATGATACAGTGTTAGTTGGTGAAGACAGAATATCTCAAGATTTGGCGCAGGAGGGGCAAGGGGGGAGGATGAACGGACATCAAATGTGATGAATAGCATAGCTATAAGCTTGTAACTCTCCAACCGGGCAAGATCCCGCCCAAGACACGTCCGCGAGCCAGCCCCAAACGTAAAGTCCACGGAGTTCATCTTCGTAAAGCGTACCTTGTAGTCTTCATCGGATTCGCCCGGAGTTGGAAGCCAGCGTTCAGGAATAAAAGAGTCAGTGCTTGGCCCAAAGATATCCTCGTTTCGATTGATGACCCATGGATTCATACCCACAATAGTCCCTTCGGGTACGAATCGCCCATCAGGAAGAGTGAAACCACCTACCGGGACGACCCGCTCAATCATGAGACCAATGGGTGGATAGATCCGCATTGACTCGCGCATCACGGCGTCAAGGTACGGAAGGCATTTTAGATCCCTCCACTGGGCGGGTAGCTGAATTCCACCACAGCGTAGTTCGTACCGCAGTTTTTGGTGGGATTGTGGGTGCTTAAGGATATTGTACAAGGCGGAGCACATAGCGGAACCTGTTGTGTCGCTCCCGGCTAACACATTCGAGAGGAGGTATGTAACAACCATATTCGTATCGATAATATCCGGGCGCTTGTGCATCTCGTCGAGGAACTTGTCCAGAAAGTCTGGAGGAATATTCGGGGCGGGACCTCTCTGACGGCGCTTTTCTAGTTCTTCGTAACTGAAGGCCGTTGCCCAGGCAAACCCGGGAGGCCCGAGGCGAAGCAATGGGTTTTTGTCAAAAAGCATGTCCATCCATGGCATTTGCGAGGTCTTTTTAGCGCTTAGAAAATAGCCCTCTTTGTGGAGATGGCGTCAATCTCACACTTACCCGAGCGAAATAGTCCAAACTCTTTTCGGATGTTTCCAGAATACGTTGATGGTCCCACCCGGCCTCCAAAATACCCAGGGTGCGAGAAATTGTAACCTGGCTCATGGTATCCCATGCGACTATCAAAGTTAGCAGGTCCCTAGATGCCTCCCTGAACACGGACATACAAAACATGAGATACTTTGACATATCGCAGACGTTGTTTGGAGTAACGAAGCACTCGCGGAGTACTTTGATCAGCAGCTCAATGGTCAGGTCAATAGCAGGTTCTGCCTCCTGGACTTTGCGCATGGAGTAAATTGGCTTTACTGGCCGGATGAATATGGAATGCCAGTTCTCATCCTGGTGCGAGAAAAGGTTCTTGTAGCGTACCCCCGCTACCACGACGTCATTCACATTATACATATCACTCTGTTGTTTTTGTTCAAAAGGTGAGTGTTACTTCCCTCATTAGAGATCTTGCCCAGGATAGAGAGAGCGTACCTTTAACCATGGATTTCTGGTGGTGAAGACTTGCTTGATCAATTTTGGATCCGACAGGCTCAGGATATTTGGACCCATGCGAACGACCGAGCCATGCTTCCGATGTAGTTGAATGTATGTAACATCACATCGACCTTTGAGTACGTCCTGAAAACGCCAGATATCCGTAAACCTGGCTGCAATGGGGCCGGGGAAAGGTTTGAGGGGAGAGCGAAGGTAGCTCCATAGAAAACGGGTAACGACTAGAGTACCCAGGAAGCACCAGAGGCTATTGAGGTATGTGTGAGTCAGAGCCATGGTTTCCGGTGAATTTTTCTTGTGTTGTATTGAATGCTATAGGGGGTTATAACTGAACTGGAGATTGCACGTTCGGTTGCCATCAATTTATAGCATCAGCAAAGGGAGGGCGGGGAGAGCTCCTGTTAAGCGAGGGGGTCAGTGAGCTTGCGTGAAGAGGGGCACTCTCTCGATCTGCCACCTTTCGTGACGTCGAGCAAACCTCGGGAGGTAGGACATAGGCACTTCTATCAATACTAAAGGGCTGACTATTATGTACGGCCTGAACGCTTCAAACAACCTATTATTAGCTAGCCGTATGGCAGTGCCGACGTGCCTCTTGGAGGGTCTTGGGTGTGACTGATGTATAGATAATCTGTACCTCACTGACCTTTATTCCGATGTCAATACAGCTTCCGGTAAATAAAATACTTATAGCACGCCCTTGGGCACTATCTCCATGTGCTTCGTAAATTAGGCCTCCGATCAAATCAGGTATGAAATACTAAGTAGTAAGAATAGACTCTTGAATTAAGTATTGTAAATTATCTTTTACTACCAAATGAATTACGATCAAGATACCATTGGGTGCTTATAACGAAGGAAAACGTACCCATCCAACATGCATTTTATATGCCCTGTCAAAATGCGCTGCGTCGTTCCCCCATCGATTTAACAAATACCGTTAGATCCAGATATGGTCCAGTGTACAAAATGTTCCCCGGGCCATTTGCTGGGGTGTAGACCACTTCCCACTCCCACACACCTGCATGAAGTCACGACTGACACAATGTTTCATGCTTTCCCTTGAACATGGGCCCTTCAACTCTCGCAGCCGCTGGGGCTTGACGCCACCCCCTCGGTTGGTGTCGAAGTGACCCTGTAGTTTTCGGAAGCCGTTGATCTACCCGATGGGGCTTTTAGTGCTCCTGCTGGACGGTGAGAAATAGCGTGTACCGGTGGAAGCAAGGAGGTATTGCTTCCCGCCTCCCCCCCGCTCTTAGGAAGTGAAGGCGTTGCTGGACTAGACGTGCTCGCAAGCCTATTTTCTCCACCTCCAAACCTGGGATGGCCAGTGCAGGCCGGAGAGAACCTTGGTGCCAGATGAGTTTTCTCTCCGTTGTAGGAGATACGGTCTCCGAGATGAGGGAAGCGGACATCAATCCCCTCACGAGTCATACATCCATTGATATTAGCAACGAACATTGGTGGAAAGGTTTTGGGATATTTGGGCGGATCTCCTATCACGGTGATCGGAGCACAATTCATGTACATCTCTCGGTTTCCCAGTCGATTGAACCAGGTCCAGGCTAATGTATATGTCCCAGGAGACACACCAAATGGAATGGTGAAATTCAAAGTCAGGGGATCCGATCGTCTAGGGGGCAGATTGCCCTGGACATTAACCGGGCAGCCACCCACGATGCTAGAAATTACCATCCAATCAGACTTCCGCGAGGGCGTCAGGTCAGTAGTTAAACTGATCTGACAGGACCCACCTCCGTGCGTGGCCGTCCCAGTTAGTCTTAATACTTGGGGCTCCCCAATCGCTATCACATTTGGCTGTTCTGGACTTTGAAAGGCCCCATGGCGCAGTTTACAGGGGAAGTCCCTTCCACTGGCATGAAGAGGGGAATTGTCCAGCGTATCCACGCCAAATGGGACGGGAGAAATAATTTTCAAATGGGAGTATACCGTCTGCGCGGCCAGCATTATTAGCGCAACAGATCTTGGCTGGGTGAGCTTCATGCCAAATATCCTCACCCAATGGATCTCACAACTAGGGCAAAGCTGCCGGGGTCAAAAGAGTAAAAGGGATGTTCTATGGCAATGGATATTTATTTTCAAGATCTCTGTAGAATCATGGGGATACTAAATATGCGGTGCTATAAATGGAACCAGCTGAGTGGGTTCTCTTTAGCGTGATTAAAACAAGTAATCAAAACGACTACTGGGAGGATTGTAGTATTAATCCCCGCACAGCAAACCGGTACATGGTGCAATGATAAAATAACACGAATTACTCTCGCTTATATATTTGTTGCTGCCTTTGATTAGACACTTACACATCGTGAGGCAATGGTATATGCCTTGAACATAATATATGTCTACTATAATGCTCGGATCTAGCGTGGTTTGAGCGTTGAATAATTTCTCTGGTGTAAACCAAAAGCAACTCCCCGCCTTGTAGAAACAGACACACCCCACCTAATGAGGCCTGTGACAGGCCCTTGGAGAGATATACTGTTCATTTCTCCGTTTAACATCCACATCACGCACCCTATCTGGACCTATATTTTTATACCCCTCGAGAATGGATTATTTCGTCCTATACATATCCTATACATAGAGATAGGTGGAGGGGGAAAAGGAAAGGCCAAGGCGGCAAAACCTAGTACACCCCAGGACGTGAGACAATTTAATAATGAAAGGTAATAATACTATCGAGGTATCGAATTGAACAGTCACTAGCCAAAGGATCCCTGGCAGAAGGACCGTCTTGATACTAGTTGGTGATTTGACTTTACAGTTGTCTTTACGGAGGGATATCCTAAAAGTCGGTCGCGAATTGGACCAGCAGCTCCTTTGTGAGGATGACCTGCCCTTCCATGCCTCCTGCCGCTTGGCAACCAGCGCGATTACCAAAGGCAAGGCAAATCTCATGAGTGGAAGTCCTGGAATACGTGTACTGGTCTGGACGATGACCTGTAACCGTGGGGACGGTCGCTACCGGTGGACGTGAAATCCCCATGAATAGATAGGACTAAGAATGCAGAGCGCTGCATGTTACGGGTTCCGATGGTGAATGCTCAATCACCAAGCTTCCAAACGTGAACTGCAATTAGGCCATCGCTGGTGTTCTACATAATTGAGATCGCTAGGGCAGTGCGACGGTGGTGAATGGTATCTGCAACCAGCGTCGAGCGTCGAGGGCCAGCTGTGACGCAGACTCGGATGTTCCAACCTCGACGACACAGGTAAGGTTAGAATGGGCCGTCCGGGGCGCTGAGCAGATATTGGGCTCATTGGCCCAGTATCCAAGACTGTTGATTGGCGGTGGGCGGGCGACAAGCTCGCGGCTGATCTACATGGCGAACAGCTGTTCATCTCCTATCATGCGAAAGGAGCCGGCAAAATCCTCGTGGTTCCAGCCCGACATCAAGTTTACAAGCGGCACTTGAGTCGAATAGTGGTAGCCGAGTCTGATAGATTTAGACGGGCGGTTCTGGTCCGAGGAGAGGCTGTCCAAATCTGAGCCGGTCACGCCAGAAAATTCGAGATATTGCTGTGTGGTCTCGTATCTTCGGAGAAAGTCAGAATGGTCGTGGATAGCAGTGAAGCAATGCTCATACACACCGTACTTCAAGTAGATGGTACCGCTAGGACGTAGAAGATCAGGCATACTTAAAGGTAGAGCGTTCGATGCAGAGGGAAAGAGATGGAAATAGTCGGGTTTGGGAAGGCGGCCCGTTGGATGGGCAGGTGCATCCGATATGATCATGGCGGCGAGTTTCTGAAGGGACTTGTGGTGGTGGTGGAAGTACGAGTTGGGCCGTGACAGCGGTCCATCAGACAGATTGTGGTTCCAGATAAAGTCCTTCTATAACGAGATTAATGCACAGATTGGGACTTCCTACTTGAAAGATAAGATCCTTAACGAAACTCCCCAAGGGAAGCCCTGAAGGCCCTAAGGCAACCTTAGAACAAATTGCTAACCCTCCGAGGTGATTGAAGGACTTGAGTGTTGAGGTAATGGCCCACGTGACCTCACGAACCCTATTCGACCTACAGATGGAGATGGTGTCGGTTGGTTACAGGGGACAGTAGCAATATGCAGGGGAAATTGAAGAGAGAGAGAGAGAGAGAGAGGTTGTATTATACCCGATACAGCAGCTCCCTTCCGGGGCTCTTTCCGGGTCGTCGAAGGGGAATTTGAAATCCACGGCAGTCTCTCCAAATTCATATCTTTACTAGTCCACAAATCAAGCCATGGCGGCTTCTTGTCGTAGCATATACCGTCTATTATTCTCTCGACAGCAGCAAAGACCAGCGCAAGATCTCTCACGCTTCAGCCCACAAACCATCTGCCTTTCTGCGGCAAGACTTTATCTTAGCCCCCAGGCCATGGGGTGTTGTCACTGTGCGGTGCGCCTAGGCCCAATGAGTCTTTCTCTGCTTCTTTCCAAAAATAACCACGCCTTGTTTTGTGATTTATACTGCCTTGCCGGCACCGTCTATGAAGAATTCGAGAAGGAACAGAAGCAGGAAACAATGGAGTCAGCATCTAAACTTATTCACTGCGCAACAACCGCTCTGCCACAACTATCACCATGCCGCTTCAAAGAATACCACCTTCATTCCCCAGACGCGGACGTTTTCCCTAGCCATCTTTGTAAAAAACTGCAGAGGGGGCTCAGAAAACGTCATGATCACGTTCAACAACTACTGGAGAGCGACCATGAGCTCTATACAACTTTCACGCAGTTTGTCGGTTTGCTTTACGACCAGACAGATCTCGTCTCCAGTCCTACGAGCGAAGGGGTTCTCAAAACGCATTTTTGGAGAGTCAGCCCATCTCAACCCCAGTATCTCTCAACCAACTTTCGAGAGATTAGGGAAAGCATTCCGCACTTCCTCAAGCTCTTTAGCCTAGATTCAATCGACAATACGAGTGGCAGCGGGTGGTAAGGTGTGTACAGATGCACGACCTATGAAACAAGAAAAGGCATTTCTTATTGCAAGGACCCTTACTCTCTATTACTGAAGAAATGGTCTATTCGCCTAATTTTCCAGCGCTCTTTGAACCTAATCTAGCCTTGTGTCTTCCATATGGGTAGGGCTGGGAACACCGAGCTTTATTTTATTCAGTTATTTTTTTTTCTTTATTTTTTTCGATTTTATATTTTTTTGCGGCAAAAGAAAAACTTTGTTGATTCCCAAAAAGGTTCACCGGCGTAGTCACTTTGAGCCCCTTTGCACCCGCTAGAAACAGTATTCGTCAAACCAGGGCCATGAAAGACCCTCCACCGCTGTACCGAAAATCCATAATTTAGACAGAGGGTAGAAAGCATGGGTAATTCTCGAGGTGTTTATCTTCTTATTATTATCAGGGAATCCTCATTTCGATACACCTAGGCGCTTAACTGGATCTTTGAGCTTTGCCCGAAATATCCTACTTTCTATCGCACGTATAATACAAAAGCCTCCTATCAGCAAGTTGAGACCCGTCGTATTGAAGGGAGCGTGTTCGAGTATACGAAATAGGAATCACGGCTGTGGCATGATCAGATATTTCAACAAACGGACCCTTCCCAGTGGTGCACCGTCGCTCCGGGTTTTTGTAATTACCATTGATTTTTAAATTACCAGCAGAGGGCGCGAGTCTTAGTTTACTGCGCGGCCAAGGATAGTCATAGTGGGGGCTTTGGTATTGGCGGGCGGTGAGAGTGTTCAACCAACCAGCAGCAATTGTTTTACGAAACCCAGGTCGAGATCCAGTTCTGGCGATAGGAATGTACATATTTCAACCTGTATATCTAGGATCTTTTATGGGAAAGGCCTCATCTTTGGCTTAATTCCCAAGATCCCCCTACGTTGAACTGATATTCAATGTTTGGAGCCCAGCGATGAATATATGACCAAAGGTCAAATAGAATAGCTGATTGTACTTGGCAGCTCGGAATGATAACGAAAATAGCAATATCTCTCTTTTTTGTACAGGCCGAAATTAGGCCGTGTCCATACACGGACCCACTTTATATATATATGCATTGAGAAGAATGCAATAATCAAAAATATCACCCTACCCAGGAAATGGTTAATAGCAAAACAAGGTTTCGTTCTGGGTAGGTATTGAAAGCGTGCCGCCTATAGCCATTTTGTGTTCTCGCGACTAAAAATCACAGAGAGGTGATCCGAGGTCTATAGCGTTAAATAAATCAACATGGTCCCACCGCGAGTTAATCTCCGACGGCGGCATTGTCCGCCTACCTTGGAAAGTCTACCGAATGAAATCCTTGAACTCGTACATCTAGAAGCGATGGAGGTCAATTTAGCTCGAGCGTCTCATACGATTGCCGAAGCAGTATCGCGAGAGGCGGTATATAGGGTCTTCCTGATACAGGCTTATTGGAATGATCCGCAGGGTTGTACGTACGGATGCTTCCAGTGCTGGGACACAATAAACGAAGTGCACCTTGAAGAGAGACGTAATTACATGCATTACAGGCCCTTTCGGGATATATTTCAATTAGTTCCTTATCGGCCCCTCACAGTCTCGCAGCAGGAAAGGCTCCAGAGCTCTGTTTCGTCGTGTCGCTGGTTCACGAGGCGCAGATTTGAGGATCTCCTACCCTATGCCTGCAGCCTCACAATTGAGGCGCTTCCATGGCCTGGCAAAGATACTGAACCGAATCCGGATGGATTGGCAGAGGGTCGAAGGAGGCCGGTTCCGTTAGACAGATTCACAGTTCTGCACGGCAGGGAAATGAATATTCATATTCGAACAATTCGTATTTTCGTGTTCCCAAATCATCTCTTGCGTGGCCCCTGGGCCCATGGTCGGCTTTACCTTTTGCTTCTACTATGCCAGGGTCTAGGGCAACGGTTCACATGGTACGACGGTAGTTCTTGGCTAGCAAAGCAACGACTGGTCATTCCAACGGTATCTCACGTAGCGTGTCTCGAGGGGATACAAAGGGCCAGAAGGGAAGGAAATCTAGACGCCTATCATTGTGTATCACGACTAATGCAGCTCTTTGGTTCGGACGGTGACTCCTCACAGGTTTCCACTTTACAGAGTCTACATCTCCCAGGTCGGCGAAATCGGCTTCTACGTCTGAACTCGGCCCATGGAAAATCATATACTGCGGAACTCCATGCGCGTCATAGAATACTAAGAGCATGGTCCAGAATGCAGAGGTCATCGTAACGCGATATCGTCCGACCACTCATCTTGGCAATTTGCATTATGGGAGGATAGAAACAGGACGTGATCAGTTAAGGAAGAAGCGCCTGTAGCGATAGTATATGGTATATAGCAATCGCGCACAAAAGAGACATGGAATTCGGGAAAGTAGTGAATAAAAGTCCTCGAATAGAGAAAGAGAATAGGGATCTACAAAATAGCAGGAGGGAAAACCAAGAACCCAGGGCTCACTAGTAGTAGATTACTAGTAGTATATTGAACTTGTAGAGACCCAATGGAACGAGCCTTGATGAATACCCAGTCATGATTGCTTCAGGCGCTAGTCTAGAATAGCATGCATGGCCTAGGTCAGCAGACGTCTATGATTCTGGTACTTTATTTTGTAGAAAATTTCAAACAATTTGGTAATCTCGGGGGGCATAGTTAGCATCAGGACGTAAGAAATGCCTCCCTGGAAAACACGGCCAGAGAAGGCTATGAGTCTCAACAAAGTTTGTCCAACACGGAGCTAGGTGCGGGGCGTGCTGCATAAGTCTATTACAGGCCCAAGGTGTCCCTCGCTCTTCCACCAAGACATCCCGCCTATTTCTGAGCTGCTAATATTGGGCCTGATAACAACACCGCAAATCATCAATCATGCCTTCGGATAAAGATCCTGTCATAATGAAGAGGACCCCTCGCAACTTCCCAAATGCCAGGAAAGCCCATGAGACAAGTGTCAATGACCTGCTCAATAATGTTCAAAACCCGGTCAATGGTTACTGCACCCTCAAGGGCCACTTTGAGGAGGAGATGGAGGCGCAGGAGAGATATAAGTGACAGGTGAAATGTCAGGTAAAAAAGAGGAAGTACCATCCGAAGATGGACGTTCATCCGATTCCAGTGCTTCAAGACCTTTGCCCTTGTTCTCCTTGATAGAGATGACTATCGGGTATGTCTTGGCTACCTCCCACGTACCACCACCCATCAAGTGATAGTTCAGTGGTATTGAGAATGGCAGTAGCGGTTGTTCGCATATAGCTCATGTCTTGGCCGATACCATTGAAAGGCTCCTGTACGAGAAACATGAGCAATTGGCGCCGGCGTATGCAATCGTTGTTCAGGTCTACGCCAGCCACCACAAATTATATATGGCGCCTGCACGGCCAGAGGTTCTAGAAATTGACCTCCAGACCCTATCACGCTTTTCGACCCCGTTTACTTGCTGCAAGCCTCTGTTTGACTTTGTGGACTCCTCTGCCGAGGTAGCCTGCACCAGACCCAAGGGTCGTGGTATGATGGAACGACTAATTTCATTATCCGGTCTTGGGCTGACCAAAGGTGACCGAGAAACATTTCGGCTGTTCGTGGAATCAAGCCAATGCCGCCACACCTACTTCGGGGCACATGATCATCCCGAATACGGTTCCTTTTTAATCTCTTATCGGGACCGCGGCGATCGAATTACCCCACTTACGAGAATTTACCCGCGGGAACAGTTTGGGTGCTTGAAACTTTCTAGAACCAAAATCTCCTCTATCTTCCAGTCCGACCAACGCCGCGTACCATACCGTGATATGCCTGCGATGCGCCAG